GGCGGGGAGCCATGGCGCAGGGCGGGTGCCAGGGGTACTCGGGCTGCAAGAGGAGATAGAACATGAACAGCCAGTTATCAGGGACATGAATCAGGAGGCTGCACTCTGTCCAGTTGCTGCAGCATGAGGAGGAGGAGGAGGAGGGCTGAGCATTCATGTGCCAACAGGACACATGTGCACAGCGACTCGGTGGCTCTGGAGAAGCTGCTCGCTCAGCAGTGAGCCCCAGACCTGCTTGCACAGGACCCTCTGCTCCCCCCACTGCTGGTACAGGCAGACACTCACCGGGGAGAAGTGGTGGAAGTTCTGTCCTGGTGTGTGCTCCCCTGGCATCGCCGGTGGGTACCGGATCTGCTGCCACTCCTCAAAGCCATGGTACATGGGGTGAGCCACGGGGGGGCTGTACTGATACGGGTACACGGGGCAGGAAGGGCCCAGCGGCCCCTGCAGTGGCTCGGGGTGCAGCCTCTCTCCAGACGCCTGTGAAGAACCAGAGGAGATGGTGGGAAGATCCCCAAGGGCAACCCACTACCATCACCCGGCTTCGAGCTGCCACTCTAACATACATAAGAGGCTGATGCAGGCCTGAAGCCCCCAGCCCCTCACCTAAGAAAGGTTTTTCCCCCATTCCCACCTGTTTGTGCTGTTTCAGCAGCTTCTTCAGCTTCTCCTTCTCCTCCTTTTCTCTCTGGCAGTCATCTTTGGAAGCTCGCAGCTGAGAGCAAGGGGGGTTAGTGCAGAGCCCACCCTGCCAACCCGTATGTCTGTGGGGCAAGGGTTGCTGTAATGCATTGCAGAAAGGTGTGTGTGTCCCCCAGATCCCCAGGAGAGGGGCAGAAGAAAGAGACAAGTGAGATGCTCTGACAGGGAAAAGCAGCAGCAAAACCACCCCTTAGACCCTGCTCTGAGATAGGTATGGGGGCTGTGACACTGGGGCCACATCCAGGTTGGACACCGGGCTCCGAGTGGCACCCAGCACTGCTCACCTGGTTGTTGGAGAGGACCAACTGCTTCTGCAGCTTTTCCAGCTGCTGCTTCAGCTCCTCCTTCTCCTCGTTCATCCTCTCCCTGTCGCTCCGCTCCCGCTGGAAGTCCTCCTCGAAGATTTTCACCTGGCAGGAGGAAGGGATGTGGGTGCATCTGCTGAGGGCAGACACCTCCCACAAGCACCCTGATCACCGCGTGCCCCAATCAGCTACACCAAGCCCCAGGCAATGGGTTGGCACAATGGCTGTGGTCCTCCCAGCTGAAGGCCTGGAGGATGCTGAGCTCAGTCCCCCAATCCAACATCGCGACACTGACACCCACCAGACTGCTCCTGGTCACACTGGGTTCTTTGCCACAGAGATCCAGGACCTGAAGCTCCCTCCCTGCCTCCAGTGACTCCGTGTCCTGCCCTACCTGCTGCTTGAGCAGCTCATTCTGGGTCAGCAGCTCCTGTGATGGCACCTTCCCTGCTGTCTCCATGGCGCTGGCAAAGATGGGTGGTGGAGAGGCCTGGACATTCAGGGCCTCCTCTAGTGCCTAGAGAGGAAGAGGAGAAGCAGGAAGCAGGGGGTCAGAGTAAAGCACTGTGCCCATGACATCTCTGGAGGACCACGAGCACATGGGAAGTGGGTAGAACTGAGCAAGACGACTACAGACCCCCCCAGATCGCCTTTCCTTGGAGCCTGGAGTGATGTGGTGGGCATTGTCTGACATGATCCCCCGCCTCAGCAAGGAGCTGGGCAGGAGGGGGTTGATCAGGGTCAGTTTGGGATTTGAGAGAGGAGAAGAGGCTGGGGAACATAAAAGACATCATTTGCAGCAAAGGGTTGTGGCCTGGCCCCCACCTTGTTCAGCCTCTGGATCTCCTTTTCCTGGTATTCCCGCTGCCTGGTGACTGGAGCCAGCTGCTCCTGCAGGAACCGCATCCTCTGCTGCAGGTCCCTCACCTCCATGGACAGCCTCTCCTTCTCTGCCTGCAGGGCCCAGTGGGGACATAAGCCAGGGCCATAGTGCCAGCAGCTCCCTGCCACCCTTCCCGAGGGACTCACCTCCTCTGTTTCGATCCGGGACTTGGCCAGCAGCAGCTTGCGGTCGAAATCCCGCTGCTTTTGCTCCCGCTCCGACTCCAGCTCAGTCAGTGCCCTGCGGGCCTCGGCCAGCTCCTGGTGGTGGCACGCGCCTGGTGCAGGTCTGCTCCGTGCGGGGAAGGAGCAGTAAGGTTGGCCTGTCTGGAGGAGCCACAGTGGGGGAGAACGAGGCTCAGACAGCCCCAAAACCTTCCCCTGTATCTGTTCTCCTCCATACCCTCACAGCCAGCACCCAGCAGAGATGTGCCCCCAAGCACCCAGCCCTACCTTCTGCTCGTACTTCTGCTTCATGGCTCGGAAGTGCTGATCCCATTGTTTGTTCACCTCCAGCAGCTGCAGGGAGAGGGGGACGGCTGAACAGGAGCCCAACCCCTGCCTTGAGCCAGACATGGTCCCATACTGCCCCCCATTGCAAAAGCACCTCAAGGAGGTGCTGGATGGAGACCCCAGCTCCAGCAGTACTTCCCTGCCCTGGGTGCTGTCCCAGCACTGCCCCGCTCCCTGGTCCTCACCTCCCTGCGCTGGTGCTCCAGGATCTTCACCTTCTTCTCCTTGGCCTCCATCTCTCCTCTGCCTGGCGCCTTCTCCACCGTGGCCCCGCTCTGCTGGACGCGCACGGGGGGACCCTCAGGGCTTTTGTGGAGGCTGTGCCCGAGGCCAGCTAAACTCAAGCCAGTTCCCTCCCACCACCTTCCCCATCCCCTTGAGACCCTGAGAAGCCCTACTGGTTCTACTGGGACAGACTGGGAGCTGCATCAGAATGAGGCTACCTTTGCTGATGTGTCAGCGGGCTCCCTGCCTCCTTCCCTGCCCTCCCTGAGGGCGACACTGTCTCCTCACCTGCTGCTGCTCGGCAGCTTCCCTCTTCCCACCATCCTGGTTGCCCAGTGTCACCATTCTGCGGAGCTCCTGGTTCTCACACCTGCGGGCAGGGAGGGATGGGTCAGTGGGAAGAAGCACCCAAAGCAGCCCTGTCCCCTTCCTCACCTCCCACCCTCACCTCAGCTTCTCCAGTGCCTGGTTTCTCTGCTCCAGATCCCGCTCCAGCTTGGTTCGCAGCTCCTTGTTCTCACTGTGCAGTGTCTCACACAGCGTCTGGGGGGGTGAACACCAGCAGCATGAGGACCTTGGCCCCAGCTGCAGGAGCCTGCCTGGCCACACACCAAGCTCTGGCATGGAGGTGCGTTTCCACCTCACTGTGTACAAGGGGGTTTGGTGGTTATAAAAACAACCCCCAAAAGGGAAAACCCCCATGAAGAGCCCATCCAGCCCTCACCTGCAGGAAGGATGTTCTCTGCTCATTCTTGTGCACCTTGGAGGCCAGGCGCTTGAGCTCGGAGGCCATGTAGCCCATGCGCATGAAGACCTGGTCCTTGCTGGCCTCCTTGGCACAGCCACTCAGTGTGCTCTCCAGCTGCTGCAGCTGGGGCAATAGGTTGGCATCCTCATTTGATGGCTGCTCAAAGTCCTGGGGATGAGATGAAACACCATAAGATCATAGAATCATAGAACCAACTGGTTTGGAAAAGTTTGGAAAAGACCTTTAAGATCAAGTCTTAAAGGTTTGGAAAATACCTTTAATATCAAGTCCAACTGTTCCCCAGCACTACCAAGACCACCACTAAAGCATATCACTAAGGGCCTCATCTACATGGCTTCTGAACACTTCCAGGGATGGTGATTCCACCACTTTCCTGGAAAGCCTGTTCCAATGCCTGATTAGCCTCTCTGTGAAGAAATTTTTCCTTACATCCAAGATCAATTCAAGGAGCACTGCAAAGTCTCCTCTCATGGCAGATCAGCTTCATCTCCCACCCAGGGCTCTGGCAGGGAGCTGAGCCAGCACCAAGACACTGCAACAGCCCTTGGTATGCTGAAAACTTGTGTGAATGGACTCGAGCCCTCCTGCAGCCCCTCTGGCCAATGCAAACTGGGATGTGCAACAAGAGCATGTCCCCTTACAGGCACTGTGCACTACAAGCTGACATTCATCCCCCTTAGGCTCCCCCATCCCTCCTCCCCTCCCTTCCAGCACACACAAAAAGCCAGAGTAGGACAGGGCAGGTCAGTGCCAGCCACGGGGACATTCAGATGGTTCCAAACGAAGCACATGGACATGCCTTGGCTGGGCAGACCATGTCTGCAATGATGGGGCTGGGTGACCTGGTCCTCCCACCCAGTGCAGGCAGCAGGAGGCGGGTGTCAGAGCACTGCTGACAGCTCTTTGGGTCATCACAACCCTTCCTCTAACTGTCACGGGGCATCTGGAGATGGATGTCCCCGCCTGGCTGGCGCTGCTTTGCTGGCCCCATGCCCAGGCAGCCTGGCCTAGGTACCCAGGAGCCCTTGCCCTTGGAGGGCAGCCTGTACATTGCCTCCCTTCCCTGCTTTGGCCAGGTGAGCAGCACATTTATTCCTAATGTCTAATCTAAATCTCCCCTCTGTCAGTTTGAAGCCATTCCCCCTTGTCCTGTCCCTACCTGCCCCTGTAAAAGGTCCTTCAGCTTTCCTGTAGGCCACTTTAGGCACTGGAAGCTGCTCTAAGGTCTCCCCAGAGCCATCTTCAGGTTGAAACAGCCTCCCACCAAATCCCACAGGCACCAGGGCTACTCACCACTCTCCTGCTCTCCTGGGGAAACCCCTGTGCTTCCACAGGGACGATCTCGAAGTCTGAAGAGGATCCCTGCAAGGGGAGGCAGCCAGGTCAGGTTTCCCTATGGAATGGCAACCCAGGATGCCCACCACACAGAGGCAGAGGGAGCACAGCAGGGAAGCCGACTTCTCCTTTCTAAAGGCTAAAGGCTGTCTCCTTTTGCTTTAAGTAGATGGAGAGCCTTTCCCTCTGGCCACACCACCACCAGCTCTCACATTCACCACACTCACATTTGGGGAAGATTTCCGTGCTTCCACGTCTGGCTGGGCACTGCCTGGGACAGCCTGTGTGGAGCTGGGATCAGGGCCGATGGCTGCGGAGAGGGGAGAGGATGCAGCCATGAGCCTTTTGGAGAGCAGCACCTCTCCCTGCCTGGCACAGGGACACAGAGAGCAGACACCCCGTGGATGGTTTCTACCCCAGTCATGAAAGCCTTCTTCACACCCTCTCCATTCCCCTGCATTCAGGATCCTGAGCCAGCAGGTTACTCTTCCCCTTGTGTCTCCTACCTCCAGTTTCCACCAGGTCCTCCAAGGAAGATGATGCTATCAGCATTTTGTTGTCCTTCACGAGGTCCTCTGCCTTCTGTCTCAGCTTGGATGCCTCCATCTGGGACTCCTCCAGCAGCTCTCCTGTTGTAGGCAACAGAAAGGATGCTCACCCACCTTCCCCGGTTGCTTACCATGCAGCAGCCACCAACACCAAGAAGCCCCCTGCTTTGGTGAAGTGTCTTCATCATCCAAATCCAATTTATGCTGGCCAAATCCAATGGCAAAGCTCAGTGGCTCACTGGCTGCAGAGTCCCCCATGCTGACACACAGAGGACTGATTACAGGAGGCAGGAGGGCAGCACTGCATCTCTCAGAGGTCTCCTCTGCTTCCCAGAAGAGACAAATTTAAGCCTAGGTGGTGGACCTAGGGGGTCCAGCCTGCCCGCTTTGGGGTCTGGCTCCCAAAGTGGGTCCCAGTCCCAGGTAGGGTGATAGTGACATGATGGGAATCATGAGGCAGGTGGAAATTCGGCTGCAGAAGTGGGACTTAAAAGCAGAAGCTGGGTCACGAGACCAAAAGCAAAACCAGCGGCAAGTGGGGGGAAGGCGGCCAAGGAGGAGAAAGGGGGGGGCATGACTTGGCTGGAGCATTTCAATGCCAGCACGTCCCTGCACCAAGCACCTGATGCTGGGGTCTTTGAGCAGCAGCAGGGAAAAGTGCCTGACCCCACAGGGGTCGCAGGAGGTGGGGGCTTACAGCAAAAGCAGAACAGACCCCAGCATCTGCGACCTGCCACCGCAGGGCTCCGAGGAGCTGACCTTGCTCCATCACTTGCCTTTTTCTTCCCAGCCATTTATCCCACCATAAAGCACCCCAGAAGATCAGCAAAAGCCTTGTTCCCTCTGCACCCCTGTATGAAGAAGGCCAGACATCCTGCTTGATCCCTAAGGATGGGCACAGCTTTACTGCTGCCCCAGTGCCAAGACCCCCAAGCTGCTTCTAGCTTCCTACATGGAGCAAGAAACCCCTGGGCTTGATGGGCACAGGCTGAACTGCCCCAAAGGCAAACTCCATCCCCAGCCACGCAGCAGTTACCGATAGACTTGATCCCCTGCATCTTCTCTTTTAGCCGGGTGTTCTCCTCCACCAGCCGCTCAAAGGCTGCGGCTCCATTGTCCTCCGAGCCCCCGCCAGGGTCGTAGATGCGGTAGGGTCCTCTCCCTTCCATGCCCGCCATTCAGTTGCCTACCTCCGAGCCGGGCATCCCTGCAAGGCAATGGAGCACAGTGTCACCTTCCCCTGGCTCCAGACAGCGCTGTGGTCCCTTGGTCCCAACCCTGCAGGGCTCCAGGGCACCATGGAAGTGACCTACTGCTCACCAGCCAGCTTCCCACCCCTTCCCCTCCAGCCCTGCTCGGGTGAACGTGCTGGGGTGACTCACAGCCATGAGAAGGGTCACGCGAGGAGGCATCACCAGCAGCCACGCTCGGGGCTGGCTCTCACCTCTCACCCCCAAGGGGTTTGGGAGTCCCAGAGGAGGTCACAGCATAGGCTGCTGCATCCCAGGAGGGATGGAGACCCAGCCCTGGAGCATCCATCCACAGCAGCATGGAGCTGGGCACTGTCGCCAGGGCATCCTGCTCACCAAAGGGTAATTCTGGGGGGGGCTGCTTGTGGAGGGGCAGTATCTGCAGCTCCAAAAGCTTTAAATGCAGCTGGTGGGTGGTTTGGGCAGTACCAAGAGGGTCCCAGGCAGGGACCTGCTCTGCTCCCCAAGTCATCCAGGTAAACCATCTGCCAACAGCACAGCTTCCCGAATCCAGCACAGGGAACAGCCACACTGGGAGCAAAGTACGAGGAGATAAACCACCTGCACACAGCGTGCTATCTGCCCTTTTAATTCCTTGTGTTTGTGGGTGTCCTAAGGCTTCCTATCACTGAGGTCTGGGCAGAACCCTGGCTCCAGGTCTCGCCCATCTCCCGGGGGTGATAAGCTGTGAATTATCTCCCTTGATGACAGCTTGTTATAAAGTGGAGCAGCACAGTAGCCGAGACAGCCCTGGGGGTGATGCCATGTGGAGCTGGGGTGCTGCTTGGAGCACCCATGGGCACCCCCAAGCACTCTTCTACCAGCTTAGGTGCTTGTAGCAGGAGAGGGTTGAGGAGGGGCATTCTGAAAGGGGAAAGGGGGTTAGCTCATACTCTAAACTATCTCACCATCAGACTAATGCTCATGCCAGGAGTGATCTGGGCTGATCACTGGTTTAGGTGACCTGCCAGGGAACAGCAGGGACTTTCCAGATGACAACTGTTACCTGGCAGCATCCTTAACTGGAACAACAACAAACACCCGCCTCGGCAGCAGGTAATTACATGTGGCCTCACAGCAGCCTGTTTTGGGGACATGTGTCCGTTGGTGGGTCTCACCATCCTCCTGCTCTGCGGGTGCCGCCAAGCCCCCCATTGCCTGTGGTCCCCACAGGGAGCTGCAGCCGCATCCCAGGAGCTGCCCAGCTGCAGCATGGGCTGAGCAGGGGCTATTTCTGGAGCCCATAGCAGCTGACAGGAAGCTGCAGAAGCAGTTCCTATGCTGGGGGTCCTGGTGTGGGCAGCATCGTCACAGCTGGTACAAAATCCCCCTCAGCCTCTCACTATGGGATGGGGACCTACCAGTGGGCAGGACGGAGCCCAGCGTGGTGGCACACACGTGGGTCAGGGACCTGATGGCATCTCCACTGCAGGGAAGTCACAGAATGGGTTGAAGGGACCTTAAAGCTCATCCAGTTCCAACCCTGGCCACAGGCAGGGACACCTTCCACTAGAGCAGGCTGCTCCCAGCGCTGTCTAACCTGGCCACACTACCTGCCTGGCCCCTGGATGGGGACAGTGTCACAGGCAGGCTGGGAACCTAAGCCTGTTTCTCACTGGTGACTGGTCACCACATGCTGCTCCAGATCCCAAACGCGGGGCTCTGGGAGGAGCTGGTTAGCAAAGCAATCCTGCAGCGAGCATCCTGTGGCACATACTTGTCCTCCACTGCGATGAACCCAAGCATGGGTCAGGGAAGGTGGGGATGAGCTGCCCTCCTGAAATACCAGCCCCCCAGACCCCAAACTGGGAGGTTTTCTGCCTTGCCCACAGCACACGTGGAAGGTCGTGGGCCACTCAAACCCAGGTCAGCTGCATCAACCACCTTGCTGACCAGCAGAGCTCTTTCCATCCAGCTGGATGGAGCCACCAGAAGCCTTTGCTATTCCCAATTCTCAAGGTTTTATTAAGGATTTTTCTATTCAAGGTCTGCTCCCCAACAGGGAGATAACAGCAGAGGGGCCATGGGAGCTGTCTTTCAACAGCAGCCAGGGAGAGGAACTGCACTATCTCCAGCTGGCAGAAGCACAGACCAGCCATGAATTCACCAGCAAACAAGACCCAGCAAGAGGGAAGGGTTTCTGCAGCATCATTGCTGGAGTCAAGGAGGGGTTGCCCAGGGTCAAGGAACAGCCTCATTTCTGCAAGGAGCTGTCATCCTGTGGACAGGACCCTGGACCAGGTCACTGCTCCCAGTCCTGGTTTAGTCTTTCCTTAAGAGTTCTGAGAAGTAAAATTTGCAGTGAAAAATCTCATGTTCCAATAAAAACACCAGAGGATGGGAGAGAGAGGGCTACAGACCAGCACTTAATGATGGTTAGAAACACAGGGAAATCACAACTGCCATAAACTCCAGAAGAACCCAACATACCACCAGAAAACACTTCTCTTTTTGCCCATCAACAGTCTCTAAGCTAATCTGACAGTACTCCACAGCTCAGGGGGTTGAGGACCAGCCATGGACCACGGCTATAGCTCATGTACTCCGTGCCCAGCCACCGACAGAGGCTGCCAGATACCATGGTTGCAGGCAGGGCACCGAGACCTGGAGGTAGTAAATTCTTATGACAACTCACTAGAAGGAGAGAACGAGAGGGCAGGGGAGACTCTCAGGGGAAGATCAAAGCAGGGGGATACTTAAATAGCTGTGCTGCGGTTTGGGAGCAAGCTGGAACCGTGCTGCCATGGCCGGGCTGTTCCCCACCATCACCCAGGAAGATGTGCATCGCCACCACGGCCACCAGCATCGTGACCATCACGCCAACCACATAGAACCAGCAGAAGGAAATGATTCCTGCTTTAAAATGACCAACAGCTGAAGATACAAAGGCAGAGGATGTGAATCCTGCACAGCGAATGGGCTGGCTCTGCTGGAGCTTTGCTTACAGCGGTGAGCCCCGGGGTGCGGACCAGCCTCTGAAGCCACAAGCTTGGCAGCCTGGCAATTCCCATCCCATGGTCCATGGTGGGGGCTCAGCTCAGCCTGAAGAACGGGGTTTTCCTTACCCCAGTGTGCAACATTCCCAGGAATGCACAAAGTGACAGCAAATCCCTGTGGGCTGCCAGCACCATTTTCCTATGACTGGGGCTGCTCGGCCCCCACATCCCTCTTCCTCAGAGGAAAAGCAAAAGCCACTCAGACACCATGGAGGATATTTTCTGATTGATCATTTTGCTGGAATGTGGCAGAATGCCACAGCAATCAGCCCAGTTTCTTTTCTTTTCCAGAGCTTCAGCAACTCTCCAAGACCAGGAACAACCATTCCAGGGCTGCTGGACTGGTCTCATTTTCAGGGAAGCAAAAGCAGAGCTGGTTTTAGGAAGAAGCAATAAGGAGGAGACCTTCTGGGCACTGCAGTCTACTAGGCTGGGAGTAATAAAAGAAGAGGAAAGCAGGCACTGCAAGGCTCAGGTCTCAAAGGGAAAGGTCTGAACCTCTGCTTGAAGCACTCTTCTTACCAGCCTGGCTAGCTGCAGAGGGTGGGAAGGCAAAAGCCCCATCTGAAATGTAGCAGATGTTACAGATGTCCTCCAGCCACAAATCCCACCCTCGCCTGAAAAAAACCCACCTCCTGCAGAGGCTTCACAGAACAACCTACTGCCAACGAGGCTGCTCACAAGGAAAATAGAGCATTTCCCTGTTCGGAGCCAGGTTAACAAACACAGGTAACCACACACAAATGCAGTACTCCTCATCACGGGTCCAAACTCCAGTGCTGGCAGGACAGGCAGCCAGCCCTGGTGATGGTGCTCCTCTGGGCAACACAGTGGTGTCCTATGCAACACCCTGTCATCTCGCTTCATGCTGCCTGTTCTGCTTCTGCCCCCTGCACCATGGCTGCTCATCACAGCACTCAAAAGCAGAACAAGGCAACAACCACCCCTTTCCTTGCAGCCCCAACACAACCCAGGCTACTCCTGTCCAACCTGGTGCACATCAGCCAAGCAACAACCAAGCAGCAGCAGACAGTGGCAACACAAAGCTACCTCAGCAAAGCTACCTCTGTCACCCACAACCAAACTCTCACCGTTGCTTTAAAACAAAATCTGCAATGCCACGAGAGTAGATGGTTCAGCTTCCTCCACCCACAAGTGTTTTGCACCAGCTGCTGGCAAGCTGCGACCCATGGCCCCGTGCTAAATCGATCTGTTTGGCGTAGGTCAGGTCAAAAGGGCACCGTGGGATTTCTTGCAGAGCCAGGAATGATGCCAAAGGCTGCAAAGAGCCTCTCCTCTTTGCTTCTTGCTTAATTCACCTCGCCATAGAGACAGCTTACAAGGACATGCCACGCTGGAGCCTTCCTGCTTCCAGAGCTCGCCCCAGTGCCCAAAGTCCAGCCTCCTGGCTCCTTTGTCAGCAGTCTCAATGAAATGTGCCCTCCAAAAGAGCTTATGGCAGCAGAACAGCTCTTACTCACCCAAGCAGCTGGAAATAACAAGCTGAAGGGGAAAGGTCGTATTTGCCTCTGATACAGGGAGCAACCTGTGCCCAGGGACACAGAGGAATGGGGACAGCCAGATTTCCAGGAGGCTGCAGGTCTCCAACAAGCCCCATTGGGAGCTACTCTCACCCAAAAGCAGGGCTGACAATCAGCATCCTTTTTCCCCTCTGCCCTCAGAACAGGCCTTAGCTTGGAATTGAGGGAGGGGAGATGGGGAGCAAGCTGTGCACCACAGGAGAAGGGGAGGCGGGTTGGGATGCTGCCATCCCCACTGTGGCTATTCCAGCCTCTGGATCCGCATCCCATATGACTAGGCACCGCTGGAGCAGCGGCAGGATGGGGAAACAAAACTCAAAGCGGAAGGAAAACAGGAGCTCTGTGTCCCTGCCGCGGGGACCGCACGCCCAGAAGCGGTCCCAAGGCAGATACGAAGGCCCGGGGGAAGGCCGGGGTTGTGCAAG